CTGCCTGGGATAGACTCCAAGCCCCCCTCTGCGAGATTATGAATGTGACAGTTGTATGGACACAAAAAGCACATTAGCAGTAAAGGTGACTCTCTTCTGATCATTTATGAAGTGGCCACCAGTGACCTCAGGCTCAGAGGCACCATAAAATGCTTTCAAATCGCTTGGCCTTTTTACACTGAAAGGCTGAAACTTTTAAATGGCTACAGAAGTTTTTTTCTGTGAGATGTGAGGACATTTTGCTCCGTCGAAATCAATATTGAGCGAACAGTACCCAGGACCACCTTGCTGGATGCCCCTGATTGCCTGAAGGATTTCCATACTGATAAGTAATAAGTGCAATATGTAAACTAATGTGACACTGAAGAAGCCAGTGCAGAATTAGGTTGATTAATGAGGCAGCATCGGCGTTCCTGGGGATAGCTTGTTTTCAGCTCAAGGCTTTTGGAAAACGTTCAACATTTGTTAAGCGGACAGAAAATCTTTCTTTACCACTTTGATTATAGTTGTGAGGGTAGGATTTGAAGCACATTGGCGAATGCGGTAATATGGTTTCAGTCATGGCCTGGTTTAACCCAATGGGAGCCAATGAAATAGCAGAATCAATCAGAAGCAGGATAAATCTGTCAGTGACTGACTGGATACTACAATACCAGCCAACACTGGTTTCAGAGCCTCATTCACTAAATATTAAGACATAAACAATAATCCACCACTTTATTTCAGTGTCTTGACAACCAGTATGTGCTACCGTGGAGACCATAGCTAAACACAGAGTTCTATTGGTCTGGGGAGGGGGGGGGGGTCACACCATGCCATGGGGATTCAATATCTATTTAATAATGTAAGACTTAATGTAGCAGCCTATAAAAAGTCGTTCAGTAAGAAAAACAAAAAGTATTTTCATATCATGCTCATATATACTCTCTTGCTTCTCTGAAACAGGTCACAGACCACTTAAAAATAAAAATGCATTCATTCTGAGGTTCCTTGTGCAAAAAAAAATATACTACTTAATTGCAAGGTCAACACGCAACACTACACTCGGGTAAATAGTTTTTCCCCATGCCTACAGAGAAGCCGGGGGAGCTCATCCATATTTAAAGTTAAAAAAGGCAGTGGGGTATTTACGAATCCCAAGCTCAGGCTGTGTGGGGGCAGCCATGGTGTAGAGTTTTCCTCCGAAACGTGTTCAGGTAAATCTAAACTAAATAGTGTGTATTAGTGTACAGACTGCAGAGGACCGGCATCCCATTGACTGTGTTTCCTGCCTTGTGCCCTCAGCTTCCAGGGATAGGATACAGACTCATGGCAAACATATTTGTGATTTAGGCAAATTGACAGACGGTAGAATGATGATTGGCTACTTGGGTCGAAGGATAGAAAGTCCACAAACTGCAGTGAAGAGGAAATCAAAGTCAAAGTACTCACTATCCGAAATAAAACACACTTTTATACTACTGTACATAAAAATATATACTGTATATTCTAATTTATGAGCTAGCTAGAATTTTCCCAAGTATCTTCTTAAATAAAGCATCAGTCAGTGTCAATCAAGTGATCACCTTGAAATCACTTAGCCCAAAAGCACCAGGCAGATGATGTTCTGGACCCTGCTGATGATTAGATTATGGCAGCTTTGTTGTGAGAGCAGACATACACTGTGTCCTGCACATGCTAATTAGCGATGACGTACTCGCTGAGCTGGCTGTGTACACAAAGGGTGCTTTTCCTTCTGTGTAGCTCACAGTAATTGAATGTAGCACACCACATGGTAATCCGTGTAAAAATAAAGCAGGACTCTACACCCACTGACTGTTTGCTGCCTCATTATAAAGGTTTGTATGGACCAGTGGTCTGCTCGAGAATAAAGCCTGACCTGTCAATCATCCGGAGGGTGGGGGGGGCGGCAGCCAAACCAGGAACAGCCTGCAGTTTTACGGCTACTCATAGAGAACCAGTTCTTCTAGTAATGCTGGACAGAGCTAAAGAGAGAACTGAAAGCATGAAAAAGGCTTGGTCCATGGAAAATATATTGTCCATAATGTGTCAACTTCAAAATCGCATGTGGAGCTTTCAAAGGGGAAAACTAGGGCATATTAAACCCATGTACATTAAACGTCACAGCTAGTACTTCACATATTTATAACTTAAAACTTTCCACCAGTTTCTTTAATGATAATGTATAGCAGTGAACACATATGAAGGTATATTTTTGTACTTAAGGTAATCACTATCAAAACATTTTCTGTCACATAATTGTCTATTTTTACTTATGTTATCCTTTTTGTTGCAGTTATTTCTGTGCTACTAGAGAAAGATTTTCTCCCACAGGGATCAATACAGTTCTCTCTCATCTCATTCGACCCAAGTTACCCTTTGCATTAAAAATAAATACATAATAATATTCAAATGCGCACCATCAGGTTAAACTGGCAATTTTCCAGAATTCATTTTTAAAATTCAAGCATAAGCCTCCAAAGGAATGTTAAAATGCAGTTCCAGACTAGGCCAAACTCAGTTAACATCTGCATCATTGGAACGACAGCTTGCACTGTAATTAAAGGAAAAGCATCAGCCATAGGGGTCGCTACGAGAAGCCAGTGCAGGGCTAGCAGGGAGGGGGGGGGCAGATAACACCGGATCAGGAGCTGACAATTACGGTTTTAAATCCGGTCCCAATTGAAGAGGCCCCCTGCTGTGCTTGCGGAGTATAACAGATGGTGTGAGCCATTGCAGTCATTAAATGGGCAAACTGTGGAGAACAACCTACCAAGTGTGTGTGTGTGTGTGTGTGTGTGTGTGTGTGTAGACTATTGATCTGTCCACCACTGGAATCACTACGCATAGCAGATTGTGGAGCATAAGTCCATCCGGTTCAGTGTTAAAGAAAAAGTGTATATGTGTCTGTGTGTATAAAACAGTCCTGACAGATGTCTACATTCCCCTTCATGTTGTCCAGGAAAAGCATCCTCATCGGCTGTAACCAGGAGCATAAGAAAGGTGGGGAAAATAGGATGATTAAAAGGCCCCTGATCTACAAGGCCCTTAAAATATTTGAAACATAACCGGATTGGTCCGAGTTAGGGGCCCAAAATCTCTAGCAGCACCCCTGTTCATAACCAACAAATCACATCAAACATCACTTTTGCCGGAAAGGTTGTGCAGTTTACAGTCCTGAAAACCTAGCAAACATTTACACAGAACAAAAGCCTTTAAAATTTCTTGAGCTGCTTAGAAGAAGGGAGTCCAAGCTGTTCGTATTTTCACTCAGATGACATATTAAAGTAAATTCCCTCAAAAAATGATTTATTAAGCTATTAAGTGCAATTTACCATAGGAGTAGCCCAGGAAAATGGAAAATATATGCACCGTAAACTAAAAACTGGCCACTTTCTGCACCACTAAGTAAGGGGAATATACACAGCTACACGTATGCTTTTCGCAAATCTTTCACATATACACACACATATTTTATATATATACACACACACACACACACACACACACAGAGTATATATAGATACATACATAAATATAAACAATGATATCTCACTGCTGACAGACATTTCAGCAAGGTCAGTTTAAACTGCATTTTAAATAATTTCTAACAAGTCAAACGCACATTCCAGAAATGTTTCATCGAACAAAAGCAGGTTGGGTTTAATAGTGTCATCAGCTGCCCAGGAGCATTGTGGGTATTCAGTCTCATATCCCCAGCCCCCTCCAGCATCAGGCTGATGCCAATGGTCTCGGTAGAGAGAGAGAGATCGGACTGAAAGCACGGCTCCACTCTAATCACCCAGAGAGGTCATGTAGGAACAGACGGGGTACCCCCGGGAACTCTGAGCTGGCCAAGCGGCCCCGCCCCCCTCGGTTCACCTGCAGCGAGTCACAATCCAACACTGCCCTGGTGCTTATTGCTTTTTCTGCTTCAGTAACCCTGGCCACCTTCCACCATGCTCAGGTCGGACCTGGTTAGTCACCGTTTGCAAACATCCATTTCCCCCTTCTGTCACAAACCCAGGTTGTTTTTTTTCTTTTAAAAAGAAAAAAAAATAGGAAATAGGTACCAGAAAGTTGCTTCCAAACCATACGCTTCTGAAAAGCTTAATTAAACCTCATTCAACACAGTGTGTGAAAGCAATCAGTAATGAACTATATCAAGGTTTTTTTGTTTTTTTTTTTTAAATCTTACCTAAGAATATAGCCACTGCACTTAAGACCAAGGGATTTCTTGAGACCTTGAATCCTACTCAAAAGGATAACACTCAGAACACAGAAAACATTACAGAATACCCAGATTTGCAAGTGGATATTGCATTTTTTTTAAGGGAGGGGGGGGGGAGGAGTACATCAAAGTAGAGATTCATAACAGAGTTGATATAAAAACCTGCTGGATATACAGTAACCACAGATTCAATCTTGCTGCCTTTGAATGTAGATGCAATTCCCCAGAAGTACACCTTTGCATTATGGGAATTTCCCCTTGGGATCAAAGAAGGCTACCTATCTGTTCAGTTCTCTCGCTTCTCCACCACACTGAAAAACAAGCACAGAAATAAAAGCAAACCTAAAACGGAAATCCAAAAAGTTAATCCAGGCCACAGCAATTGGCCTTGAAGGCTTTACCCGGATTTCTTCAAATACCCACTGGAATGATTTCATTTAGCCTCCATGCAGCCCAGTCAAATCACCCTAATGCTAGTCAGATTTAATACTCTCCAAAAGAGGAAAGCGATATTTTAAAAGGACTGCTCTAGTGCCATGTAATTATTCCAAATAACACAATGTGGTTTTACAGGACTTCCACCACAATGTAATCAATTTTCAATTAGTGAGAGATATCAAGTTGTGAGTACGAAGTTTACGGAAAGTTGGGACGCGAAGCCAGGCAAAACAATACTCGGCACCCCCACACCCCCATCACAACCACAACAAGAACCCAGACTTCCGCAAAAAATTGTTCTCTCTCAACCAAAGATAGTTGCTATCGGAAGGACTGTACAAGATTCCACATTTTATTGAACGGCAATTTCAAACGGAAATTCCAAGGTGTGCAAAGATGTTAGGCATGTGCTTGCCATTCAGGCATATACATATGAAGATGACAAAAAACACAAAAAAGATTACAAAAAAAAAAAAAACCTTCAGAACATCCCACTACACCTGAGAACAACTGAAGCTCTCTAAAAATGGCTCACTGACAATGAACTACACAGATGAGGTGAACACTAGTGAGGATAGAATTTCATGTTGATATGAGTAAACAAACTACATACACTAGGGTGATTGTGAACATGGACAGAACTCAAGCGATTCAGTTAATTCAATACAAGTCAATAATTAAAATTTATATTTTTAAAAGGACTGGAAAATAAAGTGTAGCAGTGCCTTGCGTGTGGACAGGATGGACCGGCCGCTTAGTACTGGAAGGTTCCAAAGCTGCCCTTGCCATTCCTCCTGAATTGGTTGCCCTGGATGGAGACGAACATCTCTTGGGACAGTAAGTTGTCATCGGCCTGCGTCACGCCCAGCTCCTTCATCGCACGTTTCTGCCGCTGGGTCTTCTTAGCGGACGTAGCCACCAGCTCCTTCTTGATAGCGTCGTTGCCCTCGGTGATGTCCGGGGGTACATCGTAATGAGAGTCCACGGGGGGTTCCTCCACCACCATGAGGGGAACCTCAAACTGGACCCCGCCTGGCTTCATCGGGCCAGACTCAGAGTCATGTGCCGCCTTTTTGGGACTCACCAACTCATCTGAGGGAGCGACAGTTTCACATTCAAAGGTCAGACGGCCTCCTAAAGAAGATCAGACCCATTCCCACATGACGGATCCTTTCAGTCACGTCACGCAAAACACCTGTCCATACCGACTATAAAAGGAGAAAAGGGATCAATTTAAAAGGAGGGGGCGCACTGTGGTTTAGCCATTATATTCCTGAAAATGACTGAACACTAAGCCTGAGTCATCTAAGAGACCCCTTGAGGTCTCCCTGGAGTAGTGTTACCACTCAGGAGGAAACCAAATTCCACCACTGATACCAGCATGAGCTACAGAAACTCACTCAAAGAGACTGGCGAGTAATTAGGCAGAATTTGGAGAACGCAAATCGCACAGCAACACAAACATTCAGTCCATACGGGAAGCTCTGCCTGAAACGCATTCTTTCCTCTTCCTGTCGAGGGTTTCAAAACCACATCTACCCATTCTTCAGTGCCTGTGTTGTCTATTGGTACGTTTTCCAGGAGCAAGGCCGATGAGAACTCCGTCGGCACGTGACAAACGAGAGCCGAGGAGCCTCTTACCTCTAGGCGTGCATCAGCTGAGCTTAATTTAGCTAGAACAATTTCATTTACTGCAGCCCCTGACTTAAGGTCATCGAATTTTTAATATGTTAAACACCGAAACTGTTGCAGATTCGGAATATGTAGGTAAAACACAGGTGGGGTAAACATCAGTACAGATGTATTCTAACCCTGCATGGGGTTTAATCCCTTCAGTCTTATGCTTACTCCATAACTGGAGCACATCTCTTTCAATACTTTGCTCCCTGGTATCAGATGCCATCACGGATAAAGGGAAACAGGCCTGGACATACACCGAGATGGGGGAGCCGATACCTGCAGAGAGCCCCCCCACAGCCCCACCGTCCAAGGGGAGGTCAGCCGGCTTCACCAAAATCACGCCATAACCCTCGTTGTTGTGGATCACGTTGTTCACCATGGTGATTCTAGGAAGGGTATCCAAGTCGTCCGCAAA